TAATCGTTTGTGGCAGCCCTACTACTGGGTTAGTAATACATGTTCATCGTTAAACTGTGCTTGATTGGAATATTTTGGGAAAGAAAACCTTTATTTTTCTTTAGTTTAAATGATGAAAACATCAGTTGTGGGAAACATGCACCCTTTTTTTGTCCTTTTTTGTCCTTGTAATGTCACTCAGAATAAAATATGAGAATGTATAGAAACAATTTCAAATAATAATTTAAATTGTTACTTTATTAATGTTCACACACTTATTTTCAACCTAAAAATATTCACAAATGTGATATTTATACAAATATACTGAGAACTGTGAATCTGTAGTTAAATATTTTAGTGTTGCTTTCATTCGTACTTACATTCAGAAAAGTAGCCAGGGAGATGAAGAAAGTAGGCGGAAATACCCAGAGTCTATGTGTTCAACAACAGGCTGGTGGCAAAAACAAAGGAAAAGGCTTATAGTGACTCATATGTGAGGCTTGACACTAAGGAAGGAGAAAAGGACTTCTACCATGTGGCTATACAGAGAGCCGTAGAGAGTCTTGAATGAATGTACTGAAGAGGTGGAACCTCTTGAGGAGCTGGAGGAAAGAACAATGAGAGTGAAGAGGATGGATGGAGGACAGCGAGGGCATGACGTATCTGTGGAGGTGTGTGGATGTCTAGAAGAGATTTCATTGAACTTTTTAACACAAGTATTTAGCACAGTCTTGGAAAGTGAGAGGATACCTAGAGATAGAGAAGCGGTGGTTTTCAAGAACAAGGACGATGTGCAGAGCTGTTGTAACTATGGAGGGATAAAGTTGATGAACCATATCATGACGCTATGGGAAAAATTATTGATGTTCGGTTATGAAGAGAGGTGATGATCAATGATCAGGGCGAGGGCTTCATGTTGAGAGATAACACGACAGATGTTTGTTTTCAGAGTGTTGTTGAAGTATAAAGAAGGTCAGGAGTCGCACTGTCTTTGTGGATGTATAGAAAGCTTATGATGAGAAAGGGACTGTGGCACCACATGATCACGAGTTCCAGTGAAGTATTTCAAATGTATGAGGACGGTGAGACAGTGGTGATGTGTGCAGTAGGAATGCTAAAACAATGGTTTGAGTCAGGTGAGAAACTTGAGATGCAAGAAAGACACAGATGCTCGAATTTGTGTCTGACTTTCAGATTCAGGTTCCTTTATTGTCATTCAGTCAATGCTCACCATTACATTGCTGAATGAAATTATGTGGACAGAGGAGAAAACATAAACTTTATATGCAGCTCTGGTAATGGCAGCAACATCTCAAATATAAGTACTTTTATTTGTCTGGCCGTGTGCTGCAGGTCCTGTTTCTGGGCCCACTCATGCAGTTGGCCATGGATTGTCCGTGGAGCTTCACCGATGGGATCCGGGTGGCCTTTGGTGAGCCAACGAGCTGTGCTATGTTTTATTCTTGAACTGGATTCATGATTTTCAATCTGTTTCTAAATTTGGTTTACACCTGTTGCTCTTGCTTCTTCCTCTAGACCCGTGGTTCTGGATGTTGTGTGCCAACGATATGCGGTGGCTGAGGAATCAAGTGGTGGCACCGCTAACTGAGGAGCTGGTGTTCAGAGCGTGCATGTTGCCCATGTTGGTGCCCTGTGCTGGTCCTTCTACTGCTATCATAACCTGTCCCCTCTTTTTCGGAGTGGGTGAGTGCAAGTTTTTTCCAGCTTAGCCACAAGTTGTTTATTTATTTTTCTGTTTTTATTCAGCCGTTTTAAAAACTTCAGTGCTGAAATAAATACTCAAATGTTTCATTGAGAGGGCCGATGTGCGTTTATCATCTTCCATATTGAGTTGATTGGTTCAGCTGCCCGTCACTACCAGATCAACTGCCGCTTGCATGTTCAAAGGTAACTCTGCTTGGACAAACTGCCCGAAATGTGTTTACAGAAACATTTCAGGGATTTCGAGTCATTCTGCACTCCAGATGCGTTAATTGCGTTAAATTCTTTTACTGGTTTTACTGTAATTATGAATTAAAGTAAAACCAGCTAAGAAGAAATAAATACACGAGCTTCTAATTTAAAAAATATTGCACCAATGGAAGAAAGCAGTCCTGCATATTTGTTTAATATTGAAAGATGACTCCAGGATTCCTCGCTGTTACTGCAGGCCAAGTCAGTGCCACCCAGAGTGTTTAGCTCTTAGCTGGAGGAGCAGCAGCTCTGAACGGTCAGGAGACGCTAACGAGGGAAGCGAGCCAAAGTGTCCATAAACTCGGCGGGGATGCACGCTTCGATTCACCTGGCAAATATACTGCCAACAACACGGATGAACTGCAGCTACTCAACAGCTTAAAATCAACTTTTCCAGATTTGCAACTTTGTGCTTCACTAAAAGCTAGATAGGTGACTACATCCCCGGCTGCTTGTGGACCGTTACACGGAGCTTTCTGAAAGAGGAGGCGAAATCTGTTTGTATATAAACAAAGGTTGGTGTTTACAGTGGGGCAAAAAAGTATTTAGTCAGCCACCGATTGTGCAAGTTCCCCCACTTAAAATGATGACAGAGGTCAGTAATTTGCACCAG